GTCGTCATGTCGGACAGGAAGCGTGTATATATATATATATATATATATATATATATATATATATATATATATAATGTCGTACCTAGTAGCCAGAACGCACTTCTCTGCCTACTATGCAAGGCCCGATTTGCCTAATATGCCAAGTTTTCATGAATTAATGTTTTTTCGACAACCTAACCTACCTAACTTAACTTTTTCGGCTACCTATCCTAAGCTAACCTATAAAGATAGGTTAGGTTAGGTAGGGTTGGTTAGGTTCGGTCATATATCTACGTTAATTTTAACTCCAATAAAAAAAATTGACCTCATGCATAATGAAATGGGTAGCTTTATCATTTCATAAGAAAAAAATTAGAGAAAATATATTAAGTAAAACTTGGCTTATTAGGCAAATCGGGCCTTGCATAGTAGGCTGAGAAGTGAGTTCTGGCTATTAGGTACGACATATATATATATATATATATATATATATATATATATATATATATATATATATATATATATTAGTATATTTTGGTAGCAGTCTTTCCTGTAGACATATATTATTAAATATGACCGAAAAAGTAAGATTAATAATTCTAACACGAATTTTCTCAATCTTTCGTACATTACGCTTCACTGTTGGAGGTAAATCAAAAATCACTTCTCCAAAATTCATTTTTATTTCTAGTCTGACGCGACACGGGCGCGTTTCGTAAAACTTATTACATTTTCAAAGACTTCACAAATACACAACTGATTAGAACTTGCGTTTCCCTGATTTTATATCTACATTTGAGTGAGGTGGGAAGGGTGATGTGGCATTACATTTGAGTGAGGTGGGAAGGGTGATGTGGCATTAACACAAGACAGAACACTAGGGGATATTAATAGGGTATTAAAAGTATCAACACAAGACAGAACAGAAACAATGGGTATTGAATAGAAGTGTTTGTAGAAAGCCTATTGGTCCATATTTCTTGATGCTTCTATATTGGAGCGGAGTCTTGAGGTGGGTAGAATATAGTTGTGCAATAATTGGCTGTTGATTGCTGGTGTTGACTTCTTGATGTGTAGTGCCTCGCAAACGTCAAGCCGCCTGCTATCGCTGTATCTATCGATGATTTCTGTGTTGTTTACTAGGATTTCTCTGGCGATGGTTTGGTTATGGGAAGAGATTATATGTTCCTTAATGGAGCCCTGTTGTTTATGCATCGTTAAACGCCTAGAAAGAGATGTTGTTGTCTTGCCTATATACTGGGTTTTTTGGAGCTTACAGTCCCCAAGTGGGCATTTGAAGGCATAGACGACGTTAGTCTCTTTTAAAGCGTTCTGTTTTGTGTCTGGAGAGTTTCTCATGAGTAGGCTGGCCGTTTTTCTGGTTTTATAGTAAATCGTCAGTTGTATCCTCTGATTTTTGTCTGTAGGGATAACGTTTCTATTAACAATATCTTTCAGGACCCTTTCCTCTGTTTTATGAGCTGTGGAAAAGAAGTTCCTGTAAAATAGTCTAATAGGGGGTATAGGTGTTGTGTTAGTTGTCTCTTCGGAGGTTGCATGGCTTTTCACTTTCCTTCTTATGATGTCTTCGATGAAACCATTGGAGAGGCCGTTATTGACTAGGACCTGCCTTACCCTACAGAGTTCTTCGTCGACTTGCTTCCATTCTGAGCTGTGGCTGAGAGCACGGTCGACGTATGCGTTAACAACACTCCTCTTGTACCTGTCAGGGCAGTCGCTGTTGGCATTTAGGCACATTCCTATGTTTGTTTCCTTTGTGTAGACTGCAGTGTGGAAACCTCCGCCCTTTTCCATGACTGTTACATCTAGAAAAGGCAGCTTCCCATCCTTTTCCGTCTCGTAAGTGAAACGCAGCACGGAACTCTGCTCAAATGCCTCCTTCAGCTCCTGCAGATGTCTGACATCAGGTACCTGTGTAAAAATGTCGTCAACATACCTGCAGTATATGGCCGGTTTCAAGTTCATGTCGACTAAGACTTTTTGCTCGATGGTACCCATGTAGAAGTTTGCAAACAGGACACCTAGGGGAGAACCCATGGCGACCCCATCTACTTGCTTATACATGTGCCCATCCGGGCTCAAGAAGGGTGCCTCTTTAGTACAAGCTTGGAGTAGTTTCCTCAGAATACTTTCTGGCATGTCAAGAGGAGTACAGGCTGGATCACGATACACTCTGTCGGCTATCATTCCGATTGTCTCGTCCACAGGTACGTTGGTAAACAGCGATTCTACGTCCAACGAGGCTCTTATCCCTGTGGCCCGTGCGCCCCGCAGTAAGTCCACAAATTCCTTTGGAGACTTCAGGCTGAAGGCGCAAGGAACATAAGGAGTCAGCAGGCCGTTGAGTCGCTTCGCCAGTCTGTACGTGGGTGTGGGTATCTGGCTAATGATTGGCCGAAGTGGGTTTCCAGGCTTGTGCGTCTTGACATTTCCATACGCATATCCAGGTTTATATTCCCCAATGATCTTTGGCAGGTGGAGTCCGGATTTCTTGGCGTTCACAGTTTCGATCAGTTTGTTGACCTTTGCTTTTAATTCGGCTGTAGTGTCCTTCGTTACCCTTTGGAACTTAGTTTGGTCAGAGAGTATGATGTTCATTTTCGCCAGATATTCGTCTTTTTTAAGAATGACATATATTGGCGACTTGTCACCTCTCCTGACAACTATCTCCTTGTTCTCACGAAGGCTTTTAGCTGCCGCTTTAAGCTCGGGGGACAGTATGGTGCTTCTGTAGTTGCCTCGATTCTTTCCTCCTTCTGCAATAAGTTCTGCTTGTAAGGTATCTTTGGTTGTGACCTTCTTTTGTGTCTCGAGGTCGAATATGTCGTCCAACAGAATTTCCAACTCTACTTTCCGGGCCATTTCACTCGGTCTGGACATAACATGACAGTTTATGCCCAGATTTAGGAGAGTGACTTGGTCCTCAGTGAGGTTAATTCCTGCAAGGTTCAGGAAGCCATCTCTTGGTCGTGGAATTGCCATAGGTCCTCCATATAATGTTGTTAGTTTGCATGTTTGCCGATTTGCCATATACTGCAGGTATGTTGACGACATTTTTACACAGGTACCTGATGTCAGACATCTGCAGGAGCTGAAGGAGGCATTTGAGCAGAGTTCCGTGCTGCGTTTCACTTACGAGACGGAAAAGGATGGGAAGCTGCCTTTTCTAGATGTAACAGTCATGGAAAAGGGCGGAGGTTTCCACACTGCAGTCTACACAAAGGAAACAAACATAGGAATGTGCCTAAATGCCAACAGCGACTGCCCTGACAGGTACAAGAGGAGTGTTGTTAACGCATACGTCGACCGTGCTCTCAGCCACAGCTCAGAATGGAAGCAAGTCGAAGAAGAACTCTGTAGGGTAAGGCAGGTCCTAGTCAATAACGGCCTCTCCAATGGTTTCATCGAAGACATCATAAGAAGGAAAGTGAAAAGCCATGCAAGCTCCGAAGAGACAACTAACACAACACCTATACCCCCTATTAGACTATTTTACAGGAACTTCTTTTCCACAGCTCATAAAACAGAGGAAAGGGTCCTGAAAGATATTGTTAATAGAAACGTTATCCCTACAGACAAAAATCAGAGGATACAACTGACGATTTACTATAAAACCAGAAAAACGGCCAGCCTACTCATGAGAAACTCTCCAGACACAAAACAGAACGCTTTAAAAGAGACTAACGTCGTCTATGCCTTCAAATGCCCACTTGGGGACTGTAAGCTCCAAAAAACCCAGTATATAGGCAAGACAACAACATCTCTTTCTAGGCGTTTAACGATGCATAAACAACAGGGCTCCATTAAGGAACATATAATCTCTTCCCATAACCAAACCATCGCCAGAGAAATCCTAGTAAACAACACAGAAATCATCGATAGATACAGCGATAGCAGGCGGCTTGACGTTTGCGAGGCACTACACATCAAGAAGTCAACACCAGCAATCAACAGCCAATTATTGCACAACTATATTCTACCCACCTCAAGACTCCGCTCCAATATAGAAGCATCAAGAAATATGGACCAATAGGCTTTCTACAAACACTTCTATTCAATACCCATTGTTTCTGTTCTGTCTTGTGTTGATACTTTTAATACCCTATTAATATCCCCTAGTGTTCTGTCTTGTGTTAATGCCACATCACCCTTCCCACCTCACTCAAATGTAATGCCACATCACCCTTCCCACCTCACTCAAATGTAGATATAAAATCAGGGAAACGCAAGTTCTAATCAGTTGTGTATTTGTGAAGTCTTTGAAAATGTAATAAGTTTTACGAAACGCGCCCGTGTCGCGTCAGACTAGAAATAAAAATGAATTTTGGAGAAGTGATTTTTGATTTACCTCCAACAGTGAAGCGTAATGTACGAAAGATTGAGAAAATTAGTGTTAGAATTATTAATCTTACTTTTTCGGTCATATTTAATAATATATATATATATATATATATATATATATATATATATATATATACATTATAATATAATGTATAATACATATAATGCGGAAAAACCACATGTGAAAAATAGAGAATGCTTAACGCGTTTTCGGTTTAATTCGTTTTCATCAGAGCAAAGTAGAATCTTCATTCTACTTTGCTCTGATGAAGGCGAAGTAAGCCGAAAACGCGTTAAGCATTCTCTATTTTTCACATGTGGTTTTTCCGCATACTTGGATCAGTGTTTTTGTGATCATTGATACACATAATATAATATCTCCCTTTTACACTGGTATGCTTCAGGCTACTGACCCTCCCTAGGATGCAACCCCTCCCCCCCCCCCCCCAACATTTGCCCAGCTCCTGGGTACCCATTTACCTGCGAGGTGAATAGCAGTATTAGGTGAAAATAAACTTAGCAATTTCTACCCACCCGGGAATCGAACCTGGGATCCACAATTATCAGTCAAGAACGAAACCGACCTTACGGTGCATAACTTTTTCTTTACAGTAAAGTGTTTGAGGGACGCGCGTGCGCGCGCACATGTCCGCAGAAGCATGTCTCCGTTCTTGCCTGTGCACGCATCCGTGCACAATTATCTTGGTCATGTGCACGTGGGGTGCGCGAGGCGTGTGCGCCTGAACGTGAAAGTCAGGGAGGTGGTGAGCCAGTGTAGCCTGAGCGCTTCAGGCCTGAACGTGCTGCCTGCCTGCCTGTGCACGTGCTGCCTGCCTGCCTGTGCACGTGCTGCCTGCCTGCCTGTGCACGTGCTGCCTGCCTGCCTGTGCACGTGCTGCCTGCCTGCCTGTGCACGTGCTGCCTGCCTGCCTGTGCACGTGCTGGCAGGCGAGTCATAATTTTCGACTATTCTCGCTTCATACTATAACAATAATTTACCCATCGTCCCAGAAACTACCCCCCCCCCTTCTCTGCTAATAATAAACCACATGCCGGAATGTGTTTGTCTTCTCGGGTAAAGAACCTCAGTATTTCGGAGCTCAGGTTAGTGCCGCAGAGATATTAGTCGTGCAGGGTAGAACTAATTCATATACCTCCGAAATAAGTGGAGGGAATCAATTAGAGTACTGAGGTGATGCGAACCAGCGAACATATCCCCTGTACCACCTCATGGTATATCTTATACAACCTTGGATTCCACTGAATCCGTAGGAAGTCTGGAGTCTTCTACTGAAGCCTACTCCAGACCTACTGAAGCCTACTCCAGGCCTACTGAAGCCTACTCCAGGCCTACTGAAGCCTACTCCAGGCCTACTGAAGCCTACTCCAGGCCTACCGAAGCCTACTCCAGGCCTACTGAAGTCAATCCAGGCCTACCGAGGCCAATCCAGGCCTACCGAGGCCAGTCCAGGCCTACCGAGGCCAGTCCAGGCCTGCCGAGGCCAGTCCAGGCCTGCCGAGGCCAGTCCAGGCCTGCCGAGGCCAGTCCAGGCCTGCCGAGGCCAGTCCAGGCCTGCCGAGGCCAGTCCAGGCCTGCCGAGGCCAGTCCAGGCCTGCCGAGGCCAGTCCAGGCCTGCCGAGGCCAGTCCAGGCCTGCCGAGGCCAGTCCAGGCCAAGCCGAGGCCAGTCCAGGCCAAGCCGAGGCCAGTCCAGGCCTGCCGAGGCCAGTCCAGGCCTGCCGAGGCCAGTCCAGGCCAAGCCGACGCCAGTCCAGGCCAAGCCGACGCCAGTCCAGGCCAAGCCGACGCCAGTCCAGGCCAAGCCGACGCCAGTCCAGGCCAAGCCGACGCCAGTCCAGGCCAAGCCGACGCCAGTCCAGGCCAAGCCGACGCCAGTCCAGGCCAAGCCGACGCCAGTCCAGGCCAAGCCGACGCCAGTCCAGGCCAAGCCGACGCCAGTCCTCAGTGTCCCTATTTACTTTTTCACTGATATAAATGGCGTCAGTGTGATGTGTTTGCGTGCCTGAAGTAACTCTTAGGAGTAAACACAGAGCCTCATCGTGTTCCTGTCCGGACATTAGGGAGGTGGCGACGTGTCGCTCGGTCTTGGACCGTTATGAAATAGCGTAATAAGGTCCAGGACGGACCGAAACGTCGCCACTTACTTTATTTTCAGACCCAAGAGTTGTGCGTTAGGTTTTTAGGCGCGTTACTGTGACGTAATGTGTGGGTGTTGCTGGTGTATGGAGGAACGCTGCACGTGTAGCCATGGCACCTGTAGCCGTGGTGGCACCTGTAGCCGTGGTGGCACCTGTAGCCGTGGTGGCACCTGTAGCAGTAATAGCACCTGTAGCTGTAGCCCGTGTAGCAGTAGCACCTGTAGCCGTATCTCGTGTAGCAGTAGCCTGGGCGCTGGCAGTCTTCCAGTGCCGTACATAAACATTAAAGTGTTCCTCCGTCATAAATCTCCCCAGTTAAGCACTGTGTTTGTTAGCGTTGTGTTTCCTCCCATTGATTTATTGGTAATTAGCCGGAGGTTGCTGGCTGTAATGTCCCTTGTTCCCAGGCATTATATGACAGTCGGCAGCCGCGTGGGCACTTCATGACAAGCGCTTAACTGCTGGTTACTCTCCAGCAGTGTCATTACCACAATTAGCCGCCTAGTTCCGGGGTGGTAGTTAAGGCAAGGCTCTCACGCTCTCAGCTGTGAGCGGAGAGTTGTTGAAACGTTTAGCGTCTGCCCGCTTATGTTTACCAGCTGTGTGTGTAGCGGATATTGGGAGTTGTTGCTGATGTTTTGGGAAGTTGGGAAGCTTTGTGTGTGTGTGGAACATCAGTGATGTGGTGTTTAACAACCTTTCTTTTCGCCGATGGTTGTGTGCAAGTTGAGTATTAAATGTTATTATTGTTGCGTAGTTATGAAACTTTTAAACGTTAATTATCATTGTTGAGAAGTTGTGACGCTGCTAAGGTTACTCCAAATTTTTGTTCGGTTCTTAGCAATTATGACTTCTTGTTTAATACAGATGTAAAAATGTGTATTACAATACTCTACCTAACCAGTCCCTGGGCAGTGTACCAGCACTCCCACACACTACACTAACCAGTCCCCGGGCAGTATACCAGCACTCTCTCACAATACACTAACCAGCCCCCGGGCAGTGTACCAGCACTCCCACACACTACACTAACCAGCCCCCGGGCAGTATACCAGCACTCTCTCACAATACACTAACCAGCCCCCGGGCAGTGTACCAGCACTCCCACACACTACACTAACCAGCCCCCGGGCAGTGTACCAGTACTCTCTCACAATACACTAACCAGCCCCCGGGCAGTGTACCAGCACTCCCACACAATACACTAACCAGCCCCCGGGCAGTATACCAGCACTCCCACACACTACACTAACCAGCCCCCGGGCAGTGTACCAGCACTCCCACACAATACACTAACCAGCCCCCAGGCAGTGTACCAGTACTCCCACACACTACACTAACCAGCCCCCGGGCAGTGTACCAGCACTCCCACACAATACACTAACCAGCCCCCGGGCAGTATACCAGTACTCTCTCACAATACACTAACCAGCCCCCGGGCAGTATACCAGCACTCCCACACACTACACTAACCAGCCCCCGGGCAGTGTACCAGCACTCCCACACAATACACTAACCAGCCCCCGGGCAGTGTACCAGTACTCCCACACACTACACTAACCAGCCCCCGGGCAGTGTACCAGCACTCCCACACAATACACTAACCAGCCCCCGGGCAGTATACCAGTACTCTCTCACAATACACTAACCAGCCCCCGGGCAGTGTACCAGCACTCCCACACAATACACTAACCAGCCCCCGGGCAGTATACCAGTACTCTCTCACAATACACTAACCAGCCCCCGGGCAGTGTACCAGCACTCCCACACAATACACTAACCAGCCCCCGGGCAGTATACCAGTACTCTCTCACAATACACTAACCAGCCCCCGGGCAGTATACCAGCACTCCCACACACTACACTAACCAGTCCCCGGGCAGTGTACCAGCACTCTCTCACACTACACTAACCAGCCCCCGGGCAGTGTACCAGCACTCCCACACACTACACTAACCAGCCCCCGGGCAGTATACCAGTACTCTCACAATACACTAACCAGCCCCCAGGCAGTGTATCAGTACTCTCACACACTACACTAACCAGCCCCCGGGCAGTATACCAGTACTCTCTCACAATACACTAACCAGCCCCCGGGCAGTGTACCAGCACTCCCACACACTACACTAACCAGCCCCCGGGCAGTATACCAGCACTCCCACACACTACACTAACCAGCCCCCGGGCAGTGTACCAGTACTCCCACACACTACACTAACCAGCCCCCGGGCAGTGTACCAGTACTCCCACACACTACACTAACCAGCCCCCGGGCAGTGTACCAGCACTCCCACACACTACACTAACCAGCCCCCGGGCAGTGTACCAGTACTCCCACACACTACACTAACCAGCCCCCGGGCAGTGTACCAGCACTCCCACACACTACACTAACCAGCCCCCGGGCAGTGTACCAGTACTCCCACACACTACACTAACCAGCCCCCGTGTAACGACCGCTTCCCTCTGTCGTAATAACCGCGGCCTCTATTGTAATAACCCGATGTTCCCCAGTATTAATCCTGTTATCTTGTTATCTCTCGTGATCGTAATATACGCTCTCTGTTGTACATCTCTGTCTCTTCACTCAATACCCCAGCTTAACACTGTTACAGTCCAGTATGACCCCTCACTGGACTGCCACGTATGTAAGAGGAATATTAAATGAGGAAGATACACCAAGGACAAGGGTTATTAGAAAAAAAAAACAATAACAAAACACATTTACACTGCCACCACCTTCCTGACCAACCATACCTGAATGTGTCAATCACCGATCCCCCAGGAAGGCAAGGAATCAGTAACCATGGGACTCCGGGTAATATGAATTTCAGAAATAAATTTTGGAAAATTAGTTTGTATAATTTACGTTACTTATTTGAATCCAAGGGCAACTTTAGTATCTATTAATAGTAGGAGAACATGGGGGCTTCCAATACAACACCTAAAAAATGACAAAGTAGCAAAATATATCAAAGGGGAGTTAAGTGAATACCACTGGACAAGCTATACAATTTATTTTATGAAACATGTAAATCAAGACAATTTGAACACATAACCTATTCTATTTTCCCTAGAGGCACAATGGATATTTACCGAGGACACAAAACTCAAGTGCACTATACCTTAAATACCCGCACCACGGCCAAGATGTTGATGGCTGCCCTCAGCCCCGAGGATACGGGCTTGCGGCCCTGTTCCTAATACACTCCCAAGACACACTAATGAAATTTAGTTTTTCCAACTTATTGCTGGGAAGGATTGCTCCTCCCACCATCTAATACAGCCCCAGGGCTCCACCCATTATTTTGGCAATGGCCAACCATTTAACACGTAGGCCTGAGGTCTGGCTCTCTAGGGCCAATAAGGACTTGGCCCTTATCTCAGGCCAATCACCTTCACTGATCTGTCGTGGAAAGCTACATGAATTCCTGAAGATTGAGTCAGCTCTCTCCAGCTAAAGAGAAGGGGGACAAGGCGCGTCTATGGAGCCCAGGCACCTGCGAGCAATGTTTACAAAACTGATAATTTATGTTCAATCCTGTCTCCTCTAAGATAGGAGTAGGGACATTTGACTCTGCCTGGTATGGGGAAGGCCGCTGCTGAGAGGGACAGAGAGGGATGAGAGGGGGTGGAGAGGGAAATATCTGAGTGGGGAAGTTGAGTGGGAGAAGCCAAGGTATCCACGACCACCCTACCCTCAGGTCAACCTCTTGACCCTGACAAATGGGCGACAGGGGGGGGGAGAGGAGGAGACGACTGACGGCCAAGGGGAGGGGAGAAGGAAGGAGGGGAGAGGGAGAAGGAAAGGAGGGGAGAAGGGGAGGGAAAAGAGGGGAGAAGGGAGAACCAATGATCTGAGCCCCCAGATCATTACACCCGGGCAGTATACCAGCACTCCCACACACTACACTAACCAGCCCCCGGGCAGTGTGCCAGTACTCCCACACACTACACTAACCAGCCCCCGGGCAGTGTACCAGTACTCCCACACACTACACTAACCAGCCCCCGGGCAGTGTACCAGTACTCCCACACACTACACTAACCAGCCCCCGGGCAGTGTACCAGTACTCCCACACACTACACTAACCAGCCCCCGGGCAGTGTACCAGTACTCCCACACACTACACTAACCAGCCCCCGGGCAGTGTACCAGCACTCCCACACACTACACTAACCAGCCCCCGGGCAGTGTACCAGCACTCTCTCACAATACACTAACCAGCCCCCGGGCAGTGTACCAGCACTCCCACACAATACACTAACCAGCCCCCGGGCAGTGTACCAGCACTCCCACACAATACACTAACCAGCCCCCGGGCAGTGTACCAGTACTCCCACACAATACACTAACCAGCCCCCGGGCAGTATACCAGCACTCCCACACACTACACTAACCAGCCCCCGGGCAGTATACCAGCACTCCCACACACTACACTAACCAGCCCCCGGGCAGTATACCAGGACTCTCTCACAATACACTAACCAGCCCCCGGGCAGTGTACCAGTACTCCCACACAATACACTAACCAGCCCCCGGGCAGTATACCAGCACTCTCTCACAATACACTAACCAGCCCCCGGGCAGTATACCAGCACTCCCACACACTACACTAACCAGCCCCCGGGCAGTATACCAGTACTCTCTCACACTACACTAACCAGCCCCCAGGCAGTGTACCAGTACTCCCACACACTACACTAACCAGCCCCCGGGCAGTATACCAGCACTCCCACACACTACACTAACCAGTCCCCGGGCAGTATACCAGTACTCTCTCACAATACACTAACCAGCCCCCGGGCAGTGTACCAGTACTCCCACACACTACACTAACCAGCCCCCGGGCAGTGTACCAGCACTCCCACACAATACACTAACCAGCCCCCGGGCAGTGTACCAGTACTCCCACACACTACACTAACCAGCCCCCGGGCAGTGTACCAGCACTCCCACACAATACACTAACCAGCCCCCGGGCAGTGTACCAGCACTCCCACACACTACACTAACCAGCCCCCGGGCAGTGTACCAGCACTCTCTCACAATACACTAACCAGCCCCCGGGCAGTGTACCAGCACTCTCTCACAATACACTAACCAGCCCCCGGGCAGTGTACCAGCACTCCCACACAATACACTAACCAGCCCCCGGGCAGTGTACCAGTACTCTCTCAAAATACACTAACCAGCCCCCGGGCAGTGTACCAGCACTCCCACACAATACACTAACCAGCCCCCGGGCAGTGTACCAGTACTCTCTCACAATACACTAACCAGCCCCCGGGCAGTGTACCAGCACTCTCTCACAATACACTAACCAGCCCCCGGGCAGTGTACCAGCACTCTCTCACAATACACTAACCAGCCCCCGGGCAGTGTACCAGCACTCCCACATACTACACTAACCAGTCCCCGGGCAGTGTACCAGCACTCTCTCACAATACACTAACCAGCCCCCGGGCAGTGTACCAGCACTCTCTCACAATACACTAACCAGTCCCCGGGCAGTGTACCAGCACTCTCTCACAATACACTAACCAGCCCCCGGGCAGTGTACCAGCACTCTCTCACAATACACTAACCAGCCCCCGGGCAGTGTACCAGCACTCCCACACACTACACTAACCAGCCCCCGGGCAGTGTACCAGCACTCCCACACACTACACTAACCAGCCCCCGGGCAGTGTACCAGCACTCTCTCACAATACACTAACCAGCCCCCGGGCAGTGTACCAGTACTCTCACACACTACACTAACCAGCCCCCGGGCAGTGTACCAGCACTCTCTCACAATACACTAACCAGTCCCCGGGCAGTGTACCAGTACTCTCACAATACACTAACCAGCCCCCGGGCAGTATACCAGTACTCCCACACAATACACTAACCAGCCCCCGGGCAGTATACCAGTACTCTCTCACAATACACTAACCAGCCCCCGGGCAGTGTACCAGCACTCCCACACAATACACTAACCAGCCCCCGGGCAGTGTACCAGTACTCTCTCACAATACACTAACCAGCCCCCGGGCAGTGTACCAGCACTCCCACACAATACACTAACCAGCCCCCGGGCAGTGTACCAGCACTCCCACACACTACACTAACCAGCCCCCGGGCAGTGTACCAGCACTCCCACACACTACACTAACCAGCCCCCGGGCAGTGTACCAGCACTCCCACACACTAACCAGCCCCCGGGGGGAAATTTAATATTACAATTAACGACCTAAATTAAATAGAAACTGTAAAGACTGCACCAATCACGATACAACAGTTCCTTACATTCACCGGGTCTGATGAGCTGTACTCATCCTGACCTTGTATGGTTAAAGCAAGGCTCTAAATTGTCCATAATAATATTTGGTATTGCAATATAATCCTTGTAATTTGTATTATTGTTACGACCCTGGGTTCCTCAAGTGGAAACCAGAGGTCAAAATTGAATTAAATAAGCTACGTTAGATTAGCAAGACGCAAGTCGATGTGTCTCTGTTCGTATCTTCCCTGCCAAACGTAGGACGAATCTTGTTGCTCACAAGCATTCAAACTCTTGAGCTTGTTGTGGATTAAGTATAACATTGTTATAAGATTAACTACCCTGAAAACGAGGAAAGTAACAATATGTTGCATAGGGGAAGATTTTTAATGTGTTTAGCTGCACGATCAATTAGGCTCCTCCCGGCACCACCACAATGCGGGAGGCCTGAGCTGGGCGCTCGGAGCGCTCTTCTCTGGCTGGCGTTCGTGGTGTGGAGACCTACTCTGTGGCTGCACCCCTACTCTGTGGCTGCACCTATCCTCTTCTCCCTTCTCCTCTGACTTATTTCCCTTACCTTAAGTTCCTGTACCATTAAGTTAAGTACGGTGTGTTTTAAATGTGCATACTCTGGTAGTAACGATTGGTGAGACCTGGGGGTAGTATTTGCCAGTGTTTTGGGTACCTCTAAGTGTTGTGTTTTGTATTAGGGAACCACGTGGTCTCACTACCTTAAGCTGCATCCAGCTTCAGTGCTTATCCAGTAGTACTTTACCCTAGCTTGTTCACAGTGTAAACCTTGTATCCTGTCTATGTGGACGAAGGCTTTTAACGTAAGATAGTGTGGTAAAGTAATTATTATTATTGTTATTGGTGAGAGTGTATATGGGGGCTTGTTAAGGGGTTAATAAATAAGTAGTAACGGAGTATCCCTTCTTCCTGTGTGGGAGTGCTAGGATCAACCTCTAGTCTGACATGGTCTAGTAGCAAGATTTCACGAGCGCCCTGTAATGATGACACAATGTTGCATAAACTGCCACTAATCCAGAGCTCTGCCACTTGTACTGAAGCAAACACGAGACGATATTTAGTTTTAAAACATAAAACACATTTATAGCTGAACAGAGATTACTTGGTGATGCAAGTTAAAAGAAAAATACCAATTAAGTAAAATGTTAACAAGATTGTATATTGTAGCGTTTTTATTTTGTTTTGTCTTTGCAGGACGACTGTGTCTCCTCCTCAGCCTCCTCACCAGGTAAATAAAGTGCTCTCCTCGTGAGGGAAATATTACCTGCATCAAACTGTACCATAAATATTAATGGGTTTGTAGATCAAGATAACACGTCAGTACATTGTACAGTAATAAATGATACGGTAATTGTTATTATTTGAATTAAGTGGTTCACAAAATCTGCTTTATTTTGTTGAGCATATTCTAGCCTGGCTCTCTAGATAGTTATTATAAGGTAACTATATAATATGTCTCAAGTAACTGCAACAATGATCGTTACTAGACATATATCATTAGCATAATATTAAGTAATGATAAAATCAATTGAAGTAAATATTATTACATAAATGAAAACTATGCAAGACATTGATTGTTGATAAATATTGCTTACCATTGATCAGATTTTAGAGATTGATGATATATATATGGATATATATTATATTTATGGAATAAGATAAATGCTAATTATTGTTCTTACGTTGAAGTGGGCGTTGGCCCATGGCGAACACCTGTAAAAAGGTATTGTTAATGACACAATCACCCTAATTAGCCAATCAAATAAAAAAAAATGTACATTAAACTTATCCCAGACTGAAGGCCGGAGCCTAGTCTGACCGGAACCTAGATTTAAAGATGATTAAGTAATTACTTTGCTTTAACCGATTCAGTTCTTAGTTAAGAAGGGCTTGTGAAGGGCTTTAACCTCACCACAGATCACTGATTAAGCGATCTGTGGTGGACGTCACATGTGGCTGTCGATAACCTATGACGCTACACGAGGCCTTGTACACGTGACTTTTGTGACGTATGATGTAGCAACCCGTCCTTTTAAAAATAACGTCGCTTTTCGCTCGTATGCGCCGCTATGGCTAAAAGTGGACATAATTTGAAATTAAATCGACTCACAAAAGTGACGTTCTGTCCCGTTTTCTGTTTGAGTCGTCCGGCTTACTCGATAAGGTTAGGAGAGGATTAATTAACGTTTTTCGTAACGTTTTGAAACTGAGAATTTCTTGCCCACCTAACCTACCAGAGGACCCTTAACTTACTGTTGTTAAAAAAAAAAAATCCCAAATATATTTTCATTTTCAAATTCTGTCCATTTTCGGCCATACGGGTGGCCAAAAGCGACGTTATTTTTAAGAGGACGGGTTGATAATCTTGCATATTAGATTGCTGTATGTTCGTGGTGGAATTCACGAACATGAATTTTTTCATGTTTTCACACTCGTAATGATAATTTCCGAAAGAAATCAAACTTAAGGCCATGTTTTTAACGAGTCATACGGCTATATATGAAATCCTCTCTGGCGCAGCGGTAACATGCTCCCCGCGCTTCACAAGCGATTTGGCCCACGTTCGTGTCCTGGCCGGGGAGAATTGACTAAGGGCCAATCCAACAGTGACAGAGTATCTGGCTGCTAAACGACTGGCGGGGGGAATTGCAGGGAAACTAGCGGGTAAGGCTTACCATGAACCTTGGGGAAGAGAAAGGTTTCTCATTTATGGGAAGTTTCCCCATGTCCTATGGGAAAGGAAAACCTGTTAACAGGAGTCAGCAGTCTTGTACCCACTTGAGGGGAGGAGGGAAAAAAACACTGGGTTACTGGGTTTAAATCTGTTTTGATGTAGCCAATTTTGTATGCCTCTCTTTCAGGTGGTAGGTGAATATAATTCCATTTTTTGAATTATTATCTCTTTACCTACTTCTGGAAGCAATCTTCGACCACTTCCAGGAATTCTTCCGCCTCATAAGTTTCCCATTTTAATTGTCCACTGTTCTTCCAAGGTTAATGTTTGCAATAATACACATTACTGCTTCTTGATGTTTTTCTTCTCTTCCCACATCGGTGTACTGTCTCAGCCTGGAGATCTGTACATGTACGTTACCTGTTAGTAGCTTTTCGTTTCCCTCGTTCACTTCTACCTGTATGGTTCATGTGAGATTTAATCTCCTATTTTGCAATGCACTAAAGATCCTTTCACATCGATGTCAACTCCACCTCTTTTATTTGTTCTGTCAACATACAGCTTATATCCCTTGGTCTAGTACTTGTCAGTAGGTCCTTTGGGTTGATGTTTAACCATGTTTCAGTAAGTGATATGTTAATTTTTCAGTACACCAGTGTCCTTAGATCACCCATATTATTTGTTACACTTCTAGAGATAGTATAATATAACTGAAGACTTCTTTTCTACATTGCCTTGTTAAGTATATTATTTTTGTTTTCCACAGGATCAATTTATTTTTTAAGGTGAAAATGCTCCCTTTTTTAGTACCCTCATCCATTTAACACCCAAACCACTTTTCTCTAAGTGCTTTGAGGTCTTGCACGTGTTATGCCCCGTGCCTGTTACAACTTAACTATCTGGACCAGTGGGTAGTTACCGCGTGGTGCTAGAACCATCAGTCTCAGAATAGTAATCCATGAAAGGGTTCGCAAGGAACAAAGACAAGAGCTGGAATTAAATACGCCGATTCTAGTTAAGAAATATTAGACAACACACAATGTATTTACAAGCACTTGAGAAACGTGAGACATCGACGCATGAACACTAGACTCACGTAAGCCTAAATCATCTTGACTTCCCTTTTAAAGATACTTCTCACCATGGTGGAGGTCCCGGTCTGAGGGGCGGAGTTCGAGGCTCGGCGGCACGTTGTTCCTTCACTATGGCCAGCGGAAATCGCCACGTCCCTCCAGGCAAAATTAATATTTAGTTGCTGGAGGCCGCCAGCTGGTGAGATAACATGGGAACCCATAGACAGGTCGGGCGAGGAAGTTGGCCTAACATGTCCGGGGGAATGTCTGGTGAGGACGCTAATATTAGTCGGGCCTCGGGCACCCGGGCCTCGGGCACCCGGGCCTCGGGCACCCGGGCCTCGCGCACCCGGGCCTCGGGCACCCGGGCCTCGGGCACCCGGGCCTCGGGCACCCGGGCCTCGGGCACCCGGGCCTCGGGCACCCGGGCCTCGGGCACCCGGGCCTCGGGCACCCGGGCCTCGGGCACCCGGGCCTCGGGCACCCGGGCCTCGGGCACCCGGGCCTCGCGCACCCGGGCCTCGCGCACCCGGGCCTCGGGCACCCGGGCCTCGGGCACCCGGGCCTCGCGCACCCGGGCCTCGCGCACCCGGGCCTCGGGCACCCGGGCCTCGGGCACCCGGGCCTCGCGCACCCGGGCCTCGGGCACCCGGGCCTCGGGCACCCGGGCCTCGGGCACCCGGGCCTCGGGCACCCGGGCCTCGCGCACCCGGGCCTCGGGCACCCGGGCCTCGGAAGCACACAGCCGGTGTTTTTTTCTACCACAGACGTGGCCACACATTAACAATGCTAACCAACATATATACATTTTCTTCTGTCCTCCGTGGACAGGGTGAGAGAGATCTGTTAAACATATAGTTCAAGGGTTTATTGAACAATCAACCACAGAAGGTGATTGTAGTGCTTTTAAAATGCTAAGCTAACCTACAGACATAAAAACATATATACACAGAGTTACGTATGCCCTACATAAAGTGTTCGATGTGTTTTAACATAGTTTATTAATGTGCATTTACAAAGGTGAAATGTAATTCTGATCAGCTTCCACATACTTTACACACACACACACATTTGTCTCTCCTACTCTGAGAGGGTAAGATAGCTGATAGAGAAACTAGTGTGTTAGTAAGCACTTTACCACTGAAGGTGATTAAGATGCTTTTACACGCTCAGGTTATATAGTTACATCACATACATACATTCATTGTATAATTGATACATTACCCCGGGGCTAGTGGTGGCGCCCCTTCCTCCGGCGGACAGGAAGCACCTGGCCGGCTGCCTACCTGAGAAAGGGTGAAGACGGGTGACTGTCCGCGCCCGTCACCGTTGACGGACAACTTGGATGAGAGGGCGGGTGGCCGCCTCCACGCAGCCGGCACCCTTAACACACACACGCAATCTTCTCTACACGATAAGGACGGATAGAGAAGATTGGCCCAGGCCAGTGGAATACGAACATTAAGGGGACACAGGTGGAAACTGAGTACCCAAATGAGCCACAGGGACGTTAGAAAGAACTTTTTCAGTGTCAAAGTTGTTAACGGATGGAATGCATTAGGCAGTGATGTGGTGGAGGCTGACTCCATACACAGTTTCAAGTGTAGATATGATAGTCCAGTAGGCTCATGAACCTGTACACCTGTTGATTGACAGTTGATAGGTGGGACCAAAAAGCCAGAGCTCAACCCCTCAAGCACAATTAGGTGAGTACACCCACGCTCAGGAAGAAGCCTGTAGCAGCTGTCTAACTCCCAGATATATATTTACTGTTAGGTAACAGGGGCATCAGGGTGAGACACACTCTGCCCATTTGTTTCCTCCGGTGGGCGAGATCGAACCCGGACCCTAGGATTACGAGTCCCAAGCGCTGTCCATTCAGCCACGGCCCCTGTGTGTGTGTGTGTGTGTGTGTGTGTGTGTGTGTGTGTGTGTGTGTGTGTGTGTGTGTGTGTGTGTGTGTGTGTGTGTGTGTGTGTGTACATGTACACGTACACGTACATACCTAAGGGGTGTGAGGTGTACCCTGGGGCCAAACCTGGGGGGCAGGAGGGGCGCTCTTGGCCGTAATGATAACTGTCTTGGCAACTGTTTCTGGCGCCTCAACCACCACACACTCACCAGCCTGTCCTCCTGCACCCTGCCAGCACCAACAGTCTCCTAATCTCTCCTCGAAGCACAGTCCAATTACATCTACCTGCTGCATCTACCTCCTTACATCCATCTCTTTTCACGTCTACTTTTTTAACTTGCCTTCTTTTACAACTTATTAAAGCCGAAGGAAAAAAACTCCGTTAAATGAAGCGTGTTTTTTTTGTTTGGTGAGGTGTGTGTAGCAGCACCATGTTGCCAGAGGTTGGGGAAACAGGTTAAGGGGTTGCCCTCCGGGAGTGGGTCTAGGGGATAATGTTATATAATGACCAGACTCGTAATGTGTGCCGCCCTTTACGGGCTATTCATGCCCGTGCCATCTCTTGGGTG